TAACAATCATGTGAGCGAATACAACGAAAAACGGGTTTAAATTAAGACTACGATAAGATGCTTACATTAGCTCTCCTGCTTCCAAATATTTAAGCACCAAACAACATTAAATACACATAAAAAACAAAGAAATACAAAATAAAAAAAAAAGAAATTATAACTACTAAAATAAAAAAAAAAAACAAAAAAAACCAAATAGGAACATATATAAGAAACAAGGCAATCATACAAACAACACCAAACTAAAAAAAACCTGCCACCCCAAGCTGCTACCTTCGCCAGCTACATCTTTGGTTTGAAAGAAAAGTTGATGCTCCGTGCGGACATTTATGAGCAGAAAATCTCTAAATGTTCCCAGTGCAAGTGAATGCAGCACAAGAGCCGCGATACGTCTTGTAACCCTCCTCCCTGTTGCAAGCTTGGGAAATATGATTGGCGCGTTCTCATAGTTTGCCATGTCCTTTTTCATCGGGAAGCCTGCCTGCAGGCAAGCAGCTCTCAGGAACAACCTGCACTCTGAGACACCTCCCACTCTCACAGGCAGGAGTGCACGGCTAAAAATTCCAAATACAAATCGCACTATCAGTACAGCGCCCTTCCAACAGGAATGCACCAAAATACAAAATCAAAATCGTTTCGTGGACACTTATTGTATATACACCTATATACATACACCTTGTATCCTGTAGTTAGCTATCAGGTACACGCCAGCGCACTTTCCGAACAGGAAATGCAGCGCAAATACAAAATGAAATCCGTCACTGACACTTATTTCTAAATAACAGCTATAATATATAGATAACACACAAAAATATATACACTCGCGTCACCACACACTATACATCTACAACTCATACGTGAGCCTGCGGGGCGGAGGGGGCTGGAACAGGGCCGTCACAACAAGGGGGACACCGAGACGACAAATGGGCGCATGTCCCCGTACACACTCTTACGAGAACAGGCTGGGGGATTAAAGCGCGCTTGACAGGCGCACCTCCGGATGAGTCCTCCATTGGTGATTTCGCAACACTTCACTCAAACGAGTCTTTCGGGGGGCGCGCGGGGAAAAACGTTTCGTCAGAATCTCGTCACTGTCTGTACGACAGTGACGGTGTCTGAGAGTGCAGGTTACACCGGATTGTCTGAGACTGCGCGGCCTGCAGGCAGACCCCTCCTGTTTCTCGGTCAGCGTCTGCAGCAACGGACTGGACAGCTGACGGCTGCCGACGTGGCTCGCAGCAACCGCTTTCTGCCCACAACTCTGTACTGCTGCAAATTTGGACTACTAAACGAGCTCGACCAACATCATATCAGGAACAAGTCATTTACGTAGTTTTATTTTATTTTTACTCTCATTTTACTTTACTCAGGGTCCAGAGCACGAACAAGTTTTAAGATTTTGGAAAAGTTCATTAACATAAAAAGCATTTCATAGAAGTTCTGTTATTCTACCTTTTGACTCAAGATTTCTGATTTACTGCCAATATGTATATCTGGTTCCAAATATCGGGTTATTCAACGGTGCTCCTTGATAAAAAAAAAAAAACAAAAACAAAAACAAAAAAAATAAAAAAAAAAACAAGTGTTGGCAAGTTACTTTAAAAAAGTAACTGAGTAATATTATACGTTACGCATCAAAAAACCTAGTTAACTTATTAGTTACTAAATTATAAAGTAATAGTACACAAGTATCTTAGTCCTTTAACTCTTAAAAATAATAACAATACAAATACGCAGTGTTTGTTGTCCTGTGGCACACGATAGAAGAAAAAGACAAATCCCCATACAATCTGTAGCAATTATCATTATGAAATGTAGTGGAACAATAAACACAAAAGAATATGTTTAGAACATTGGTTGAGTGATGGTGGGTCTTGCGAACAAAGTTTTTATAGCCCCATGTACATTATTAGGGTGCTTCAAGAGATTGGCATTCGCTGTTATTCGATGTGGACAATGTCTATTCTGCCTGCACTACACTTTACATTTTAACGTAAGATGTTGATGCTCACTTTATCGCCAAAATTGAAATAGTCGGTTATATTATCCAGTTGCAAAATTGCGCTGCTAGCATCTCGCTGATAACTTGGCATCTGCCATTCGTTGTGTGTGTTGTGTGTGTGCTGGTGTGAGCGGTTTGCTGTTCGTGTTAACATTACGCGAGTGTTTGTGTATATCTTCGCCCAACTTCTCTGTCTCTGATCTGCTTACCCTGAAAGTGTTACCTCGCGTGAGAGCAGATCCATACTCCTCTCGGTTACTTTCACTTTTCCATGGTGCTCGGTGAGAGGACATCGGCCTGTATTCGCCTGTAACGCTCTTACATTCCGCAGGGGAGACTTTGGTTCAGTTCCATACACACGTAATGTCGGTACCCATCTTAAATGCACAGTAACCTATAATCGGCTTCGCTCACACGGCGAATCTGTAACTAGTAACGCTCATTATGGTACCGCAAAAAGTAGTCTGCGTTCACAAGTAACGCGTTCACACGTGAACCCGTTCACAAACGTAACGTAGGTCCCAACACGTCTACTAATATTCGGGTATTCGGTATCAGCCTTCAAAACGCATCATTCGTCGACTCCCTAAGGTGAATCGATAAAGTGATTGACGCTGGATAGGAATGACTATGATATGTTAATATTATCATATCATTCAGACAAACAATCGATGAGACCAGTTACATTCCAATGTACTTTTATTGCAGAGTCTGTCATAAATTTGGTACCGCTGCTGGTCTAAGAGTGAAACAAACTCATTCAGTTATTGTTCAAGTTAAAATTAATTAATTATGTCTGCCACCTTATATATTTATATGAAAGGCTTTACTGATGTGCCACAATAATGTCACCTATGTTATTGAGTTAAAATATTAATATTGTGGCTTTCCAAGTTCACATTGATTGTGTGATATGACTGCGATTAAAGTAGGGTTGCCAGAAACTGACCATGATCAAAATCGATTATTCGGCAGCCCTGGCGAATAATAATCGATTATTCGACCGCCCCCCCCCGCAGGAGAGAAGAAAAAAAAAAACTCAGACAAAAGGAATTCCGTTGTTTTCTATACTGGAACATTTTTAACAGTACAAACAAAATAAACCAACATCAACATGATGCAGCTCCTTGAACTCTTTTTACCTGCCGCTTTGTTCATCTTTAGTCGCACGTGTGAGGGAGAGGGGGGGTGGGGGCGAAGGCGGTGTGTAGCGTGCTGCAACAGCAGTCTGCTCTGCACGCAGGCTTCCTCCAAGTTTACAGTAAAACAAACTGGTGGTGTGACCAATGGCCATTTACAATTATTAATACTATTACTATTATTAGCATTAGTCTATATTTTGGTTGAAACTAAGCCAGAAAAAAAAAAAAAACATAATAATAATAAAAATATATATAAATAAAATCGATTTTTAAAAATAATATTCGATTATGGAGACTGTAACGAATATTCGAATAATCACTGGCATCCCTAGTCACGTGACTTTACGTTTTTTTTTTTTACGTAATTGCGCCGTCCCTTATGCTATCTCTTTACGTCTCCAGGGACACCCCTCCTGGCATGGTCCTCGTCAAATGACGCCAAGACGCCCCCCCTGGCGGAAACGCTGTCTTACAGGTGGTCAAATCAGATCAAAGTGTATTTATATAGCCCAATATCAGAAAACACGATGGTCTCAGTGGGCTTCACAGATTTACAAACATCGATGTCACACGTCAACGTTTCAGTTTCTTCTGTGCAGTGTTAACAGATGAATAAGGTAACAATACAATTATAAAAACACAAGACAGACCGTGAAATATAAAGAAATATAAAGAAAATAAAGTAAAAATACTATGCAAATAATAGAAGAAATACCATAAAATGTAGGACTTGGACGACAACCGTAGGTTAATCTTAAACAAGCTCTAGCTTTAGTCTTTTTTTTTTTTTTTTTTAAGGACGCTCTCAACACGCTCCTTAAATGTTGGATACTGTTTGCCTCCCTAATAAAAACAGGAAGTTAGTTCCAGAGAAAGGGAGCTTGGGTATCTGAACGCTAACTACTAAAAGACTTGCACTTTTAGTCTTGACAAAAGCTTTAAAAAGGCAAACCTACTTTTATATGAGAGGGTTTTTCCTTTCTTAACATCTTGACTATTTCCATTTACAGCTGACATTGAAATCTCAGAGAACACAGCTTTCAAACTGTCCAAACCAATATGATCTGGATCGCTGCAGACAGAAAAAAAAGGGAGCTCAATTGTTTATCATTTTAAAAAGTCAAACAATGGCCTGTCAACACGGATCAGCTTTACACCCAAATGCGGGAAAGCAGAACCCTCAACAGAGGCTACGAAGCAAAGTATCTCAGCAAGTGTCGGGAAACAATACGGCTGAACGACACAAGCCTCCATCAGTGAGGAAACAAGTGCGTTCAGTGAAGCGCGTCGCTGACAAAGAGCTGCTGGAAGAAACTAAAGCCAGAGGAGGAAGGGAGTCTGGCTGGAAACCACCGCTAACAGTCAGTGTGGAGGCGTGCACAGTAAAGGACTGCATTGTTCCAATTAATGATCGTTGGGGGGGTTGTTCTCGCATGAACTAAAAACTCCACAATCCCGTATGCACCATTAATAACTGTGCAGTGCCGACTGTGACAAAGCCTGATGAAGATGACCCTGATGAAGGTCAAAGGCAAACATAAGTTGTCTTCAACCAACTAAGCTGTTACACCTGAACACCACGTGCTCGATCGAGATCACAAAAACTAGTAAGAAAGAACGAAAAATCCATCTTCACACACGTGGAAGACGACATCTGGTGTTTGATGAGTTGGAACAGATTCTCTTCTCTGCAATGAGCACCATGATCACTTTAAATATATATAGTTCAATGATGATTCACTTTATGCAGCTCCAAACATTGCTGTCAATTCTCAAATATTTGTTTTTTTTAAATAACGTAATCACATATTGGTGATGGAAATAGTTTGTTTCTCGCCTGAAAAAACTGTTATAACTTATTATTATATGGCTAAGTTGAATACTCCATTCTGATTGGTCAATTTGGATATTTCACAGGTTGTTAATACTCGATAACACACCGCTGCTTAGCAAAATAATGACCGTTGCTAAGGAGGATCAAAGGAAAGGGGTTAAAAGACAGAGTTTCGGACGTCAGAGAAAAAATAAGAAGACAGACGGGAAGTAAACATCAACGAGAACACGGCATGGGCTCTGGCAGTTTCTTTAGTAAGTAAAGGTTGCTAAAGCTGGCAACTATATGTGAAGTAATAGAAAAATATAGCTTTAACCAGAAGTGCCAAGACATGTAATGGCAATATTGAAGTGCTCTAGAGCCGGCGAAGCATAAACTGAATATGAAAAACAAAAACAAACAAAAACTGATAATTCCCTCCAATATCGTGAATCATATCGCAATATCAGTAAAAACTAAAAAGGCACGATATCTTTCCCTAGTCCAAACCCCCCCAGAACAATCAGGACGATGTATTATTTTTCTCCACAACCATCTTGTGACCCCCGGAAATTATCCTGTGACCCCCAACAGGGTTACTGATCCCCATGTTGAGAACCACTGCATTGCTACCTTGACACAAAGCATGTTCAATCATTGTAAGCAAATGAAAGAGATGCTGGGTGGTCATGGAGACACCACGCATCCATCAGAATCTCTCCCCCTCAAAAGAATAAATAATCACAGACATATTAAAAAACCGAACGAGCCGGGCAATTAAGAGAAGTGTTTGTCCACCTACAGGTGTCTGAGCGACAGCCAGAGCCGATAATCAGCTCTTGTCATTAGGTGGCTTATTGACAAATGAATCCAACGTGGTGATTCACCGCACAATTACTGAGCCTTTGTGCCACGGTGTTTGAGGTGCACTGAATGAAAAATACGCCACTGATACGCCTACAGGAGCTCTAACAGTCAAAGTAGATTTTGTACGGGTAAAATGTGGATTTAAAGCATGTGATGTAAGCACAGTGTTTTAATGACAGCACCGGGACAAAGAAAGCCTGTGGTGATTCATGTTTTCCCAATTATAACATCAGACATTCATTATATAAATATGGCTCTCTGACTAACACAATGAAATTCGGTTAAAGCCATTTTGTTTTGTGAAAAAAGGGTTGAATAATATTCGTACTACCGCTGTGGTTGAGGTAACATCAAAGACTACAATTCCCATGATGCCTGACTTCTAAGAGACACAGATAACGGCCACCTGTGTGGGAAAAGATCGAAAGAAACTCACATTCTTTAACAATATAATATAAGCCAGCGTCGTAATCAAAACCTTGAGTCAACTAATAACTTGAAAATTAACATGTTGGAAATGTCTTTTAAAAAAAAGGCAGTTAAAGAGGCTTATAGAAACAAAGTAAAAAAGCAGCGACAGGTCCAATCACACTGTCAATTTGCCCCTGCACAAATGTCCAGTTAACTTGTTGCATTAAGATAAGACTTTATTCATCCCGAAGGAAATTGTTGTGCCAGAGTTACAAAAATACAATAAACACAGCAGCACAATAGTAAACTGTACACTAACAGTGCAGTAAAAAGAGCAATTCAACATCTACAGAAAACATCGACGGTCACTTAATTAATGTAAATATTAACAGTATTTAATAGTGCAAAAAAACGTAGTGGCAGATACGTAATTGCACGTTATCGTAGCACATTACTAATAATAATAATATTGCACATGTTATATAGCAGCGAGTGTTTTGTAATGATGGTAATGATATTTATATTAAAAGGTAGGGTGGGTAAGAATGGAGAAACCAGCTCGAGTGCGCTAGAATTTGAAACTACGTAACCGAAAAAAATCTGCCCCTTCCTTACAGAGCCCCTCCTCCAACACACACGAACGCCACATGACCAATGAGGGCACGAGATAAGTTTGTGCACAGATGGAACGCTGACAGGCAGGTAGGCCATCCAGTTATTTTAGCCGGGCCGGCTCAGATGATTGGTCGTGCTTTTTACAGTACTACGGCTTCCAGAGATATTTGTTTATGGATTTATTGTCAAAGCATTTAATATATTCATTGCTATCGGGATGTTACGAGCATTCCATGGAATATAACAACGTGTTTCTGAAGTGAATGACCTACCCCACCTTTAAGGGATTAAAATCTATTTATATGTGGAAGTGTAGCGCCTTTTTACCTTTTCTGGTTTAGCCGGAGCTTCTTTGTCTCCGGTGGTAGCAGCTTGCTCTTTAACAACCGGAGCTTCTTCTTCATCGTCGCTGTCCAGGATCTGACGGCTGCGTTTCACGACCTTCTTCACGGGTGAATCCGCTTCCTGGACGCCGTTCTGCACCTTCAGAGGACTTTTGGAAGGTCTGTGGAAGAGCAGAGACACAACTTAGATACTAGTTTAAACAAATAAATAAAAGCAGCAAGTCTCATTCATTTGGAAACTGTCGTGGCTTCCTTCCTTGTTTTTCGATCAAGCCACTAGTCGCCGAAAACAGACATGTTTTACTCGTTTTCTTCCTTTATATTACTAACAGTTGAAGAGTTGCTCGGCCTCCGATGGTTTGGGTGGTATTAAGAGAAGTGTTTGCTCAAAATAAAATAACAAACTTTTACACATGTAACAAAGAACAGAGGCCTTTACAATAGTCAAAGCAAATAGGCAGAACTAGGGCTGCACGATTTCGGGAAAAAAATCGAATTGCGATTTTTCTGACAAATATTGCGATTCAATTCGCGATATTTGTTTTTAAGTGACCCAACGGACATTTATTGTTAAATGCGACCATATCTCTGGCTAGGAAGGTCGCATCAACATGCTCCCGTCTCTAGCACCCCCGCAGCCCGAGCTACGAGTGAAAGAACTAAACTTACATGAAACTTCAAACTTAACAATGGCTGCTACATGTGGAGCACAGCACTTCTGATTGGTGTGGACGACTGACACACAAGAACAAAACAAAAAAAAAAAAGTTTAAAAAAATCGTAGGCTTAGCGATTTGATAATCGCATCATTTCAAATCGCGATTTCGATTTAAAATCGATTAATCATTCAGCCCTCAAATAAAATAACAACCTAGGCATTCTTTCATTCTCGATAAGGCTTAATAACTTAAAGGGTAGTTTAACGGTTAAAAACTGTTCCTCAACGGCGTCTTTCTAGCCGGTTGCCCATCACTGTCACTTTAGAGCAGGCCCGTGGGAATTGTAGTCTTTTATAGTGTGTTGACTACAGACGTCACAATTAGGTGGCCTTTCTTATCAAATCAAAATACTGGCTCTAACAGAAACGTTAAAAAGCGCAGCCACAAGATGCTGTATTAAGAATTGTAGATCAATAGCAAAAGCAGAATACATTGATCTGAGATGTATAAAATAAAAAGGCAAGAGTCGAGAAAGAGAGGTCAAAGCCATCGTGAAAAGATCATTACATAAAGCGCATTAAAGAGGGGTTTAACTTCTAGTCTAGAGATAATGAACACGATCATTAAAGCCGCTCAGAGATGAGAAACAGACGTTATTAAAGCCTTTCATTATAACTCCAACAAGAAGTTATACTTGGCAAAGATCAATGACTCAAAGATAATTGCCCATATTCAAGCTGTCAAACTGAGTTTTAGCACAAAAATAAGCTTGAAGATTATCTGTTGGTGTGATTTAGTTTACTGATGTCCAAGATAGTATTACTCACACCTTCATGAGCCATTCTCTGTTTTGGCGTAAGTATTTATATCGACTAGAGATCTCCTTAATGTTGCTAGTCTGACACTTGTTTTAAGTGGGATATCATTTCAAAAAATAATAACCAGTTCTTAACAAAACAGTAACATAATGGATGGTTCAGTCAAGGAGGGACATGTGGATCAAGAGTGCTCTGAATTCATGTGAATTAATATCTTCTTCTACTTGTTTGTAGTTATTTAAATAATTAAACAGAATGCATAAGACTTAGGTTGATTAGGTTACAGTATACAGTGGATAGTATACAGATAGAACAATAACAAACGAGCCAGGGGTATGTCACACTGGACATGATAGCCTTGTTGTTTGTCAAATTGTATAGCAGTTATTTCTGAACATCCTTAAGGAAAACAGCTAAATCGTGAAATTCACATTATATTGATCATACCAATGTAAACATCCTCATGGATGTACTAAATAAACGCTTGCATGGCAAAATCTTACTTTTTCACCGCTTCATTTGAGGTTTTCTTCTGAACATCTTTGCCCTTGGGCTGAAAGAAGGATCTGGAGGAGGAGAGGAACAGTTAATGTCCTGATGGGCGTTAGCATGGCCATTATCAGTGAAACATTAAACATTGATAAAGAAATAGTCATTCAATACAGTACATTTTGCCAATGACAGCTGGTATGTGTGCAGTGGTGTAAAAAATACTTTTACTCAAGTACTGTAACATTTTGAGGGACTTGTACTTCACTTGAGTATTTACATGCCCGCTACTTTGTACTTTTACCCCACTACAATTCAGAGGTTAATCATTTACTTTAACTTCACTACATACATTTCTTTACCTTTAGTTTCTTTACAGATCTGGATGAATGATGTGACATTTTACTCGGTAACATTTTGATTGCAGGACTTTTACTTGTAACAGAGTATTTCGATACTCTGGTACTTCTACTTTTACTCAAGTACACGATCCGAGTACTTCTCCCACCTCGTACGTTTCATGCGTAACGTCATCTTGATAACGGACGTAACGTTACGCAGACGTAAGTTAGCAAGCCTCACTTAACCAAAGTTAACTTAGCTAAAGTTACTCAAGTTCTTCTTAAACTGTTTCTCGTATCAACACAAATTAGCTAGCGTTAACTGTCAAGGTTTAGCTTACATGTTACATATAACTTGGACGATATATGATAAGAGGTCTTATATTTGTTTTGGGCAAAAAGTGAAGCATTTCTTGCCCAACGCTTGGATTTAAAACAGACTAATCTATGCTAAAGCTAGCTTACAAGCAGTACAGTTAAGCTAACGTCACAGTCATGTAGGCACTTAACTACTCATAAAAACAACATACAATACACTTAATAAACTAGTAGGAAAGCAAATACAGATTCAACCAGTCCCAAACTCTAATAACAACAGTTAACTAAATATTAATAATTTCCGGGCTTTTAACTTTGTACTTACGCGATGCTCCTCTGCATGTTGTCTTCAAAAATATTCCTTCACCAGATAAAAAAACTAAATGTAGATTTCTGGCTTAATTAAAGCACAGTCAGGGTCCAACATCAACACACAAAACACAGACTCCCGCGCTGCAGAGTGACAAAATACAGAGAAATATTCGGCGCGAAAAATGTCATCTCAGCCAAAGATCGTCAATAAAGAAAGATGAGTCACTCGATACATTTTTTATTTCCGGTCTGCATATTTGGCTCCTATGATAAAAGATTTGGTTTTTGCTCTAGTTTTGTTAGATTGACTTGGTTTTGAAAAAGTTCATATGTTGTAGCCTTGAAATTTACTTATGTAAATAGAAAGGAATATCATTGTTTTCAGTTTTCTCTTAACAGATTTCAATTTTAAAAGATAACACACTGGTATTGGGATTTTGATTGTGCTATTTAATACGATTTAAATAACCAAAACATTCAAACAAGAAAAACCCCTTCAATTCTAAATAGTCTATGGGTAAACCCTCACATTGAACAAATATAACATATAAAGACGTTATTTAGAAATGTAACTGCCTATGTTCTTTTTTTTACACTTTTTACGCTGCTATGAACAGTCTTGCACTAATGCACATTTCTCAAAGTTATTGAAGTGACTGTTATTTTGTATATATTGATTGTTGTGCTTTTATTTAGGTCTTAATATGTGCATATGTACAAATGTGTCTGTTGAATGCGTATATATATATATATATATATATATATATACATATTTTTATACATATTTGTATTTTCTTATTCGGGATTGTGGGAAAAGGTATTTCGATCTCTCTGTCTGTACACACAAACTGAAAGATTGACAATAAAGTTGACTTGACTTCCCATAGGCTAATCTGAATTGGAGTTAGGGTTCCCAAAAATAACCACAGAGTGACACCTCTATTTTCTTAGACATCTTTGCTCCAACTCTCTCCCGGGAAAATCTGAGCTGTAAAGAAAGTGTGTGTTGAGATGCGACTGCCCCCTGTGGTGTCGGAGTGGAAACTTCAGCCACCAGCAGCTGGTCCTGATGCTGCAAAGAAGACGTGAAACTTTCCTTACATGAACATTTCACAGTGTCTTTTTGAATGCATCAATCCTTCATTTATTCATGCAGCTCTTATTGTTATTGATGTAGACGTCGTAGGAGGGAGAATGTAAAACAGACATCTGAGTAAATGCAAGTTGAGTGCAGTGTTTTATTAACTCAAATGCAATGTTGTTTACAAGTGCAATTCCCCAACTGTGGAGTAAGTGCTTTCAGAGGAGAAGTGACTTCCTCAGTAGTTTATATCAAAAACACACACACTCACATCATGGTCCAACTTAATAAATAATCTGAATAATAAACTACTGTACAGTTACACAAAATGACAAGAGATTTGAAGAGGTAAAGCAGTCCATCTGTTGCTCCTCTTCCTCACTCTCTCTCCCCCACATTCCTCTTTCTTCTTCTTCTTCTTCTTCTTCTTCAGTTTGCTTCACTTCTCCAAACAGGCTTCGGCTGATGTGGCTCAGATCCCATCCTGCCAGGCTCTTTTGCTGCCAGCCGTTAGCGCCGATGTGAAGGTCCGAGGGGTGAGAAGGGAGGCCCGACTCCCTGAAGTTGACCCCCAGATGTGAAGGGGGGGAGGAGAAGGGGAAGTGACCGTGGAGAGCCCGGGGCATCGAGATGGGCTTAGGGAGGCAGCATGGGAGCAGGAAGGGGTGAGGCATGGGATGGACTGCTGTCAGGAAAAGAGAGAGAGTCAAAGGGCAAAATAATGAGTTTAATGTTTCTTAATAATAATGATAATAATAATAATAATAATAATAATACATGTTATTTATATAGCGCTTTTCCTGGTGCTCAAAGAGCTTTACAAGCAAGTAAAGAAGAAAAATAAGACAGCAGGAACTCAGATACATGTAAATTTAGCATTTGTATAAAAAGCGATTTGTTATATTGATCTTTCGGGGGTAAATGGGGCTTAAAGAGATACATTTGGATGTTTTAAAGTAGGGTTGCATGAGAAATGTACACATAGTCAGTAAAACAGACATGAGTGAAGAAAAGCAATGCACTGCTGTGGACAGGAGCAACAGCAATGCATATTTTAGACAACTTAAATAATCAAAATCGTCTTCAGTTTACACTATTTATAATGTTTTAACGATAGACTTTCCCGATGATTTTAAATAGTTGTTTTTGTCCTCAGAGTCTAGTGGCTTCAAAGAGAGCATAGATAACTTCAGTTCATGATCTGATGGGCTGTTAGTCAGGAAGGTAAAGGAGGTTTTTATACAGGTTTAGTTGGAAATGATGTATGCTTAATATAACTTTGTACTGAGCATACAATATGTAACATGTTATTAAGTAAGTTTAAGAGGTGCTGGTATACGCAGATTTGGTGACTTTTGGACAAAGCCAAGATAAAAAAAAGTTAAATATTATAGTTTAGGCACTGCAGACATTGTTCTCACAGAATAATGGCTTTGTTCCCTTGCTGATACTCCTGTCTGTTTCTCCAAACTGTGTGTGTGTGTGTGTGTGTGTGTGTGTGTGTGTGTGTGTGTGTGTGTGTGTGTGTGTGTGTGTGTGTGTGTGTGTGTGTGTGTGTGTGTGTGTGTGTGTGTGTGTGTGTGTGTGTGTGTGTGTGTGCGTGTGTGTGTGTTAGAGAGAGAGAGAGAGTGTGTGTGTGTGTGGGAGAGAGAGAGAGTGTGTGTGTGTGTGTGTGTGTGTGTGTGTGTGTGTGTGTGTGTGTGTGTGTGTGTGTGTGTGTGTGTGTGTGTGTGTGTGTGTGTGTGTGTGTGTGCGTGCGTGCGTGCGTGCGTGCGTGCGTGCGTGC